CCACGGATGCAGGAAAAGAGGGCTGTGTTGACCTGGAAACCCTTTCAGCACAAGCCTCATTACAGGTGGAAATAGAACCCACCCGAATTATCTATTGCTACCTCGGGATCGCTGAGGTCAGGACTCTGCAGCAATGCTTATTTTTACATTTTCAAGCAAATACCAAAACCTTCAACAAAGATTGGGTTGGTATTAATGGGTTTTTGTCTCAGAACTGTATTGTGGATCCCGGAGTTTCCCCCAAATCCATCTATATCAAATTTGTAGAAGTAGAGAGGGATTTTCTTTCCGCTGGCTCTTTAGTTGAGTGCCTGGAAAAAGCCATTGGATACCCCTTAAAATTTAACAACTGAATGTCATCCTTCATAAGGATTTTGGCTCTTACCTCCTTCTTCTCTACGGCTTCCCATTACCCAGACTGTTCCTCATCCAGCTGCTGCCATCAGACTCTTCATGGAAACTTTTCCACGATCGGGCCAGTACAACTTTTAAGGAATCATAGTAGACTTGGGCAGAGAAGACCTCACCTGAAAATGCTCATTTTGAGCAAGCAAGATACATAGCGAACTTACATGGTGGGTCAGCTGTTTCTTTTTTAAAGACAGAAAAACAATTTTTAAATGGATTTTAAAGCCCTAATATAAACAAATTGTAGGTACATTCCATATTGGACAAAACTTATACTTTGAGTTTCATATGAAATTGAAAAATTGTATTTTTTTCACAATGTTTCATTTTTACACATCTCTATGTCTCTATATAAGTAATATTTACAACCTGAATAAATAAGCAATAGATAATGGCAAGTTAAATCTTGAGTCACAGTAAATAAGACTGTTTTTCAATATCACCCTTAGCTACTATTGTATATAATTTAGAGTTTCATTTTTTTCACCAACCAAGTGTTTTGCTATTTCCAATCAGTGTTGCCTGCAAAGACCTTTGTTTCTGTGATGTACCAACTTTACGGTTGTGTTGCCGTTTAAACTTTTTTTAAAAAAAATTAAAGTAATTCCTGGCCTCTTGGCGTGCTAGTTGAGCTTTTTGTAGCAGAGTGTGGCCACACTGGCAGTGGGTAGTGTGCTCTGACTTTACTGCTAAGACTGAACAGAACAAACAGAGCAGGATATCTTCACTTTCATGTACTCTCTGTACCCCATTGACCAGTGTTATTCTTTCTTGTCAGAGTACCAAAGGTCACTGGATATCTCATTTTGTATTTCTCTTTTAAAAAATGACTAGAGTTATCCTTCTGACCCTAAGTGCATGAATTTGTAAGAGACTTCATTCCTCATCTTTTACGCTCAGTATTCAGGAGCAACTCTCTCAAGGAGCACAAATAGAAAACTGATGTCATCTTGCTGCCTCTAAAAAAGGAAAATGAGGATCCAATAGAAACCTCTAAAAAATATTTTTAAAAAGTGATCCATAGGAGAGGAGATTGGAAGGTGTCAGTCCAGTAGGAAGGTAACTATCATATTTAGATCTTTCAGAGATTTCTAATGGGTCAACCACCACTCCACTTAGAGGTTAGTACTCTTGGCTAAGAATAGCTTACTAATAGAGTAGTCAAGGATCACTTTGGTCTCATGGCAGGAACTGGTTAGATTGGTTATCTTTAATGATTCCCCAGCATCTCTCAGGTACTCTGTTTTAAATGGGCTGCAAATCCAGGTAAGAGCTATCATTCTCCCTATTTGTTTTATACTACTGAAGATGAAGTTGCATATTTACCAAAAAAATGTCCTTTTCCTGCAACCTGAATAGTCTCAAATCAGCGATTTTCTCATTCTGAAACCTCTTGGTTGATGCTTATTTATTTTTCTAATGATTAGAGATCTTATAATAACAATGAGATGGCTTTTATTTATATTATTTGAGTCTGGGTTTGTGGAGTTGGCTTTTTCTGATGTTAGCTGCTAAAAATGGGTGCTAGTTCAGGGAGAATATAAATATCCTGAGAGTGTTTGAATATAACACCTGTTATGCAGACAGAGGCCTTAGGAAATTCTCATGAGTTTGCACTTCTTTGGAACTTGGAATTACGGTCCTAAAGGCTGAGGCGCCGTTGACCATCTTGTAGCAATAATTTCATTAATCTCATTAGTATTCAGTGCTTAGTGCTGTAGGAAGAAGGATTATTACCAGGAATACTACATGGAGTCCCTAAAACCTTGCCACTGACCAGTCCCCAAACTAAGATTGTGCTTCATGCATTTTTTTTCTCCATACCATTTTCTATCAGTGTTAGTTGCTTAGCTGGGGCAGAACATTTGGGGAACATTTAGTGAGGATGTTTTAGACCCACCTAACATTCCTGAGAATGGGGCCTTGCTGGACCACTATGAGTGGCATGGGGAAGATGGCAAAGACTGGATCCAGTATGTGTTTTCACCATTTGGCTTGGGATGGGTAGGAGTGAGGGGAAAAGAGGACAAGCTGAGCACTGGGAATTGGAGGCTTGCAGAGAAAGTCTCTTTGGCTAAAACAGTCTAGAAAAGAAGACGGTAGGTTGTCAGATAACTGTGTGCGTTGCTACAACAAGAAATGGACTCTTTAGACCTTATTGAAGCCTTATGACTGATTGAAGGGGGCCAGAGACACTATATTCAAATGTAAGAAGCGCAGTATTAGGAAGTACTTTGGAGATATAAGATGAGGTGTGATTGGAAGAAATGGTAATGATCTGCAAGTCTCTAACATATGAAACTAGGAACTTAGCTCTTGCACACGTTTATGTAAGCGGTTCCCAGGTCACACACAGATCATCTGTGCCAACATTCTCATTTTACACCAGGCTGGAGAGCAATGTCCACCCTAAAACGCATCTTGGTGAAAGCTTTCAGAAAGTAATGGAGCTGCCCTGCTAATTCCTACTACTTGACTGTCTTAGGGTCAGAATAAAGAAGTGGTTGGAAAAGGAGACAGGAGACAGTGAGGAAAATTCTTTGGGGTGAAAAGTCCTGAAGAGATTGCACCTGTGTCACATGGAGACATTCACTGCCTACAAATCCTTAGTTGCCGCTTTACTTCCCATGCGCCAAGTTATTTGGAATCTGAATTCTGAAGGAAAAGTTAGCTACAGGGAGGCTGTACCTTATGTAGCTCTTGATAAGGACGAGCACAGCTTGCGTGATTAGATGCTTTGGTGTTCCTGGGTTAGAACCAAAAGACTTTGTACTGCCTTTCTTGGAAGGAGTTATTTGAATGACTTAGCTGGTCTGTCTGAAAACAAAGAAGTGGTGTTTACAAGAGGTGGTTTGCAATGTAGACTAAAGCCAAGAAAAATTTGAGTGTGATAGAATAGGAAAACCAAACCAACAGCCCCCAACCCCTCCACACAATCTACTTGACAACTCCAAGTTTGTAGCTCCCTGCGTAAGGGTGTGAGACTGGCAGTTATCCATTCCTGTTGCCTTTGCCGCTACCGAGTTGCCAAGTATTAGATTCCAGGGTTTGCATGAGCAAGCTAGTGTTTGCATGGGCATTTCTCAGAGTCACTGCATGGCAGGTATTTGAAGAGAAGCCAGGCAAGTCACACTAGGAAGAAGCAGCCGAGAGGGCCTATGGGGCACTGTGTGGAAAAAGACCTGTGCAGTGTGGGCACAAGGACCATACTGGGTGTTAAAACAGCAGAGAACTATGTGGAGTAAATGGAATCCAGCAGGCCTGGCTGCGCTTCTTCTCAGACAACTCTGCCCCCTCAGCGGGCAACGCCAGGGATGCGTTATGGTTTCTGCCTTCGGTGACCTTTGCTCGGTGCTTGAGCTGTGCCCGGATGTTTGAAGCATCTTTTTTTGGCTATTGGACGGAGAACAGGTGCGTGCCCTTCGGGAAGGGAGCCACGGCCGCCAGAGGGCGCAGAAGTGCCTTTTGACCCAATGGCGGTGACGCGGGGCGGGTGGGGGGCGGTTAAATTAAATTCACAGGGAACAAGATCTAGTCTCGGGAATTAAAGGATGAGAGCGAGCCTGAGCCTTTCACTGCAGCGATGGGAGGCACTAAAGATTCGGGGAATAAAGAAGAAAGGGAGGACTCTGTCCTACCTTCCCGTAGCCGCCCCCTCCTCCCCGGGCAGCATAAGGCCTGTGAGCTGTTCATTTTGGGGGTGAGGAGTTGGGAACGGAACTAATGTTGCCTCAGTTTCCCGCCGAGCTCCTACCTTGCGCCAATCTTCCCTGCTTGGGGTATGAGGCACAAGACCAGGGTAATCATCTAGGGTGGGTTTCAGAGAGGCCTTCTCTTCCCCGTCCACAGGTGAGGACGGTCCCCGCGTCGACCGGCCGGCCCTGGCGCGTCCCGGTGCTGCCCACGACCTCCCAGAGCAGCCTAAGGGCAGCAGGCGCGTGCGCGGTGGGCGGCGGCGGGCGTGGCGGTGGTGGCCGAGCCCGGCCCTGGCTCTGGGAAAGCGGTTGATTCTGGGTAGCAGAATGGGGCCGGCACGGGCGACGCTCTGGCCTCTTCCTGCCGCTGTGCCCCACACACTGCGGAATCCCGGGAGGCTGGGGAAAATGCTGCTTCCTCTTCCTCCTCCAGGGTGGCCTCCCTGGTTAGGTCGAAGACGCGGTACCTCCAACTTGGAGCCGGTTATTGGAGCCAGAGCCCAAGACGTTTAGGGTGTCAGGGGTGCGGGTGGCTCCTAGACTTCGGAGAGTCCCCAAACTTCCCTCCTTTCCTGGTCATTCTTCCTATCCAGAAGGGGAAGGGGAGGGTATGGCGCAGAATGATAGTTCAGGACCCTCCTCTTTCCCCTTTGACCCCCGGTCTGGCTCGTGGGGACATTAAGACTTGCCCAGCCCCACCCTGAGTTCTGACCTGGTAGGGGACGCGGGATCCGGCCGTCGGAACGCCAGGAGCGCCCCCCCGCGGCGGGCCACCCGCGCACCCCGCCCGGGAGGACGGCGACCTCTCCGCCCCCTCGAATGCCCCGCCCCCCTGTCGCCGTCGGTCCCCACCCCACCACCGGCACACGCGAGCACAGACTTGGGCTGGAGCCGCCCTTGGTGTTAGTGGCTTGACTCCCGCACCCGCTACGGCCCGTCGCGCAGCTTTGGCACCTGTCGGTCCGGTGTGTCCCTGAGTTGGTACCCCAGACTCCGTCGGGGCCAGGGAGGGCCATGATTTCCCTGCCCAGGCCCCCGGCGACCAACTTGCTGCGGCTTTTGTTCCTGGGGCTGAGTACCCTCGGTGAGTAAAACCCAGGACCAGGAGGGGGTTGGGGTGTGGGATGGGGTGAATCAGGCCCTGAGGGAGGACTTTGGGCACTGATGAGAAATTGGGTCCCACAAGACTCCTCCCTCAGACTCTTGCCCTCCTCCCTTACCCCACAACCCCACCCCAGGGCATCACTGGCCAGTGCTGACTTTTCTCCCTGCTTTGGCGGGGACAGCTCCCAGTTTGGGTGCAGTGTTTGTGTGTGAATAGTGGCGTGCGTGGGAGGCGGGTAAGGGCATCGCCTGAAAGACCTGGATACCTCTGGGGTAAGTTATCGGAGCCATGCCTCACCTCCCACTCCCCACCCCCCACTCGGCAGAGCCAGATGAGCTGAGCCGCTAGATGAGACACCGGCTAAAGAGCTTAAGGACTTAACCCCAGACCCCCCTCGTCCCCCCCCCACCCCCCACACAAGCTGATGAATCCCCAAGGGAATCCCCTGGTCTTCAGGTTTGACAAAGGCACTTCGTGTCAGTTTCCCAGCCCAGATCCTCCCTCTTGCCCCCTCTTCCTGCTTCCTGCCCTGGAAATCAAGGGAGGTGTCCCAAAAGGGTGACCGTGAGGTCATTTGGGACACAGGAAATGGGGAGGGGTTCAAATGCCCTGAGGATAACTGTGACACCACCCCCCCCCAGGTCCACTACCCCATTGGTTCCCAGAGCCAAAGGGACAAGGGAAATAGGGAGGAGGGTGGCAAAGGGTCAGAGAGGAAGGGAACCGACTTGGAGCAAGTGCCTGGGAGTGTTGAAGGCCACCAGGGGCCCTGGCTTCAGCTGGAGCTGGGGGTGCTCAGTGTTCCATCTGGGGAGAAAAGGACCCAGCAGGAACTAGGCCCGTATAAGCTGTTTCACTTGCTGCCTCCTAGGTTTTCTTGCCATCCTCCTTCAAGGATCTGGAGTGGGGGTGAATGGGTGGGTTTGGGATATCCGCTTTAGCTCATTTCCCTCAGGTTAGAGGATGCCAGGCAAGTAAGGCCTGGAAAGATGTAGAGTGAAACTCAGTTACAGCGACGGGGACTGAGACGGAGATGCTAGGTCCTGCCCGTGCCCCTTTAGCCTGGTCTGTATCCCAAGGGTGTTGGGGCATGAAGTATTAGAGTCCCCAGACAAAGTGGGTCTCAAGAGCAGCACACCATCCACCCCCCCCAGCCACATCGAGCGGCTTCCTGCTTCTCTAGGCTTGGTGGACCTGACCCAGGATCCCTCAACTTCTCAGCCTGGCTCTCCCAACTTCAGCCTCAGCTCCTCTCTTCCTTCTGTGGGAGGGGGAGTCTGAAGCAAGGCAGGAAAATCCAAGTTTGCTTCCCAGGCATCCTGGACATAACCTGCAGCTCATCTGCAGCGCCCCCTTTTTCTATCCCAGTTCTGAGCCTCAGTTTGCCACACCGAAGGCGCCCGGACTCAAAGGCTCTACCGGGCGCCAGGGGATTTCCCAGCTCCTGCCGGCCACTTGAGGGTTAAATGACACTCAGGACCGCGGCGCATCGGGCAGGCACCGGGCTCCGCTCCTCTGGGCCCTCGGCGAGGCCTCCTGCTCTGCGCGCTCCTCCGCGGCTCAGCGCTGCTGCCCCTGGGGCGTGAGAAGCCCGCGGGGGGAGTTTCTCAGAGAAAGAGGGAGACTAAAAATAGTAGCCCTGGGGAGCGGGCCCATTTCGCTCTCCTTCGGCCCTTGCCTGCTCCCTCACTCTGGTCTCCGAGTGCCGTGAGCTGGAAGAGTCCCTTCTTGAGCTGCCCCTGTGACCTTCACTCAGATCCAACCAAAATCCTTTCTCTTCCAGAGGCACCGTGGACCCTGGGAGCGAAAAGGGCCGACCAGCTGGGGGGCTTCCGCACCAGCAGGCACCCAGGGCAGAGGGCCCTTTCTGCTCCTAGTTTCTGACTGCGGGCTAGGACAGGGAGCATTCGCCCAGACCCTAGTGTGTCCATTACTATCTATTGTAACTCCCCTCTACCTTTTGCAACGTGCAATTATAAATGCGGGAGGTCGCTGGGACAGTCTGTGCGAAGGAAACTGGCGCCCCTCCCGGGACGCAGGCAGTTTCCGGGCAGGAACCGTTTCTGGGCGCTCGGTGTGCGCTGCAGAAAGGCTAGGAGAGCGCCCGCACCGTCCGCAGGCTCCCGGCCTGCCCCGCCTCGGCCCAATGGCCCACGGACCGGGTCCCCAGGGGGCGTCAAGCTCCTTGAGGCTGGAGTTGTTTTTGCCCGCAGAGCCTCCGGTCTAGCGACCCCCCCTTCATTGTGTTCTGCCTTATCACCGGGTACAAGTTTCCTGCCCAGCCCGCGGGAACCCGCCAGGAAATGGGAAGGAGGTGCTACGAAGGTCAAGGAATAGGGGTGGGGGGTCTGTAAAGACACGCCGCGGGGAAGCGGTGGGGGTGGCGCGCATCCTGGCCGGATCGGCTCCGGGCCCTGAGAGGCCTGCAAGCCCGGTGCCGCGAAGGCGAAGGCCGAGAGCTGGGCCTGTCCGCGGCCTCTGCCCGCGGGTTGGCCGCCTGATCGCCACGCGGAGGTGGCGTCTTGTGTACTCGGGTGCAGAATGCCGAGGCCCGAAAAGAGCAGGGCCGGGAGTAGGGCGGCCAGCGTCCTCAGGCCTGGCCGGGTACAAGCCCAACGTTATTCTACAAAGGGCTTAGCACTCAGCCGCTCCTTTGCCTCTCCGAAAGGCAAAACGTGAGCCTGCCTGGACGCCACGGTGCAAACGATAGGCCCCTCCTTGAAACCAGCACCCCAGTCCACCTCCTTCCTGCACGCCCGACACGCGCAGGGGAAGCTTTGTGCTTGTCCGGAGATTGTAGTTCGCCTCCCTTTTATTCCCTGCGACCCGAGAGGATCCGCCCAGATCGCCCGGACCTCAAAAGGGTTCTGGTGTGCTTTGTGGGTCCGCTTTCCCAGGGAAGCCCAGCGCACTGGGACTGAGCGGGAGGCCGGGGACCACCGCAGCCACTGGGCCGGGCTTGGGCGCCGGGCCGCTCCGCTCTCTCCTGCTCTGGGGAGTTCAGAAGGAGCCGCGGGGTTAATCGGTAACTCGGCAGCTTCCCAATCCCCTCCGCCCGTCGGGTTGAGAACTCCGGAGCGAGGAACCCTGGTTGTCCCGACCAGCGTCGCTACTCTTCCTTGGTTCTCGCCCGGAGAAACTGGGGGAGCGAGTGGGCTACGTGGCGTGTAGAAAAGTAGATCTGTCCTTCCTCCTGATAGCTTCCCGTCCTGGCTGGAAATCTGCCCCCTCTTCTTGGTGCTCAGAAATCTGCACCTCTGGATACGAATAAATGCATATAAATATGGCCTATCCGCGCTACAAACCCAGGGGCTGGGAGTGGAGAGAATAAGCTCTAATGAAATTGAAAGCAGGACACTGGGTCAGCGGGCCCTGGGCACTGCTCAAGGCCTCCGGCGGCGGGACAGCACGAGGTTCTTTCCCGTTCGCGCGACTTTTTCGCGACCCTCTCCTCCAGCCGCGTCGGACAGGGTCAGCGAACAGAGCCGAGCCGGGAGCCAGCCCTCCGCGCTCACGCCTCCTCGCTCTTGTCTCCAGCGTCCCCCTCGCGGGCCCAGCTGGAGCTGCACGTGCCGGCCGGCCTCTCCAGGTTGCAGGCGGTAGAGGGAGCAGAAGTGGTGCTCCCGGTGTGGTACACCCTGCAAGGGGAGGTGTCTTCGATCCAGGGGTCGAAGGTGTTCCTGATCTGGCTCTTCAAACAGGAAGGGAAGGAACAGATCCAGGTGAGAAGGGAAAGCATCTCGGCCTGTGGCAAATTTTGCCCAGCGGTAGGCTTAGGGAAGGGCGGGAGGGGTGGCCAGGGAATGGGGGCCCAGGAGGGAGTTTCCGGGATAAGCAAATGTCCTCACCGGTTCAGTTTTTGTTCTGATATTGGAGCCTTCCCAAAAAGAATTTTCTTTCGCCCAACTTTCCCTAGAAATCCAGCACACAAAACACTGTAAAAGCCGAAAGGCATTTTGCTTAGTTATGGGGGCGGGGCGGTGGGAGTTAAGGAAAGGGGACTGGCGTGTCGCAAGTAACACAACTTTTAAAAGTTGAGCATGTTTCTGTTTTCACATTCTCCGCTTTGGACACTGTCATGTCACAGGCCATTTCTCTTCCCAAATGATTGTCATCTGCCCCCTGCCCCCTTATCCCACCTGGAGAGGCAAGGGACAGCCACCTCCCACAATCTGCCACCTGTCCTCCTCACCATACCTACTCAGAGGAGGATTTGCAAAGAAGCAAAGGGAACAATTTTCAGAGCCCCTCACTTGCATGGGCTCCTTCCAAGGTCCTGGAAAATATGTTCAAGCAGGTCATTTGATTTTTTTTTTTAAAGATATTTTTATCTTCTTTTTCCTGAAGATGCTCCCCCCAACCCCGTTGTATAAGTTTCAGGCCCTACAAAACCTGGATCTACCCCTGCGATCTAAGTTTTTTTCATCCATACTGCCTGTTTACATTATCCCTCCTTCACCCATTACGACACCTTTCTAAACACCCCAAGTGAGAGAGGAAGAAATAATGCATAGGGGATTTAGAACTGAACTGTTCTGGCGAAGAGGACCCAGGGGCAGGGAGAGAGTGGCTAGGAAGACAGGGCTGGGTGGGGGCTGGTACAGGTTAGAAGGATGGGTGTAGATGAGAGGTATTTGAAGAATGTCAGTTTGGGGGAGGGCGACAGGCTGAGCGTGTGGGCACAGTACACACGTGTGATAATAACGGGGAGGTGTTATGCCCACACCAGGTGTTGTCCCGCTTCAACGGGAACACGACGTCAAACAGTCCGAGAGTATCCCTGCTTTACCCGAAGCCCTCCTGGAACGTGTCCCTGCACCTGCAGGGCCTTCAGGAGACAGACTCTGGCTCCTACAGCTGTTCCGTGAATGTGCTGGACAGCCAAAACACGGTTAGGGACTCCGGCGTCAAAACTTTAGAACTCAATGTGCTGGGTGAGTGAGAAGCACACACTTCTGGGTCCCTCCCCACCTCCAACCCCACTGGGAGGTGTGGCAGGTGTCTCTCCCAAATGGCTGAGTGTAAGGGTTGGGGGAGGGGCAAACGGAGTGACACAGGGTATGGGGGACTGGGAGGAGGAGGATCTGTGGGTCCCTTAGGTGTGGGTTTTCATCTGTCTCCCCTTGCCCAGTTCCTCCAGCTCCTCCATCTTGCCGTCTCCTGGGCGTGCCCCGTGTGGGGACCAATGTGACCCTGAGCTGCCAGTCTCCAAGGAGTAAACCTGCTGCCCAATACCAGTGGGAGCGGCCGCCCCCATCCCCCCAGGTTTTCTTTGCGCCAGTTTTAGGTGAGAGCACTTCTGGAAACAGCCGGACTGTGGCTGGGAAGGGGAAAGATAAGAGGTACTGAGGTGCCGCAGAAACTGGGGTGAAAAGGGGAGGCAATGCTGGAAAGTACTGGGGTGGCGGGGTGGAGGAGGATGTGGAGAGGAGGATGGAGAAAGATGGCCCCGGGGCAGGCGTGGTGCTGGGTGCGTTCCCTTGCTGTATGCTGTGAGTAAAGAGGCTCTGGAGCTAGTGTCTCTGTTCAAATTCCAGCTCTTCCGTTCCCTGGCGTTGGGATCCTGTCCCTCCATCCCTGCATTTGTGAAATAGGGATTTTTTACACACACCTGTTTGAACACACCAGTGTGGTTTGAACACGCCAGTTAAACAAAATTTTTAGGGACAATTGAAACATTTTTAATATGGAGTATTAGATGATTTTAGATAATTATCATTAATTTCTTAGGCGTGGCAATGGTATTGCGGTTATGTGGGACAACATATTTATTTTTTGGAGATTTATGCTTAAGTATTTACTTTAAAATGTCTCAGTAAGAGAGAGAAATCAAATAAATATGGCAAAATGTCAGCAACTGTTGGATCTAGGTGGTAGGAATATGGATTTTCATTTTGCTCTTTTTCTACTTTTCATTTCTTCTAGCTTCTTGCTTTCAAAGAAGCAATTTTCTTTTTTTAAATAGTACTTATTTCCTCATAGGTTCATTGTGAAATTTTGGTAAGTTAGTACAGATAAAATACTTAGAGCAGTCTTTGATGTGGAGTAGGTAGACAATAAATGTTAACTGTTACAGTGATTAGTCCGTGTAACCTTTCGACACCGTCAGGTAAATTGTATTGTCCCCATTATACAGATGAAGAAATGGAGACCTAGGGATATGAAATAACTTGCTTAAAGTCACAGAGCCTATTCTGGAACTAGGTTTTCTAGTTCCTAGACTAAGGTTTTTTCTCTCTCTTACTGCCTTTCAGTGCGATGAATATAAGAAGCAAAAAGAGTACTTTGGTTTTTCTGTATGTCACTTCCCCTTTAGCCTCCTTTTTCAGAGATCAGTTGGGGGCACTTGGGAGTGCAAATGGAGAGGGGTACTGAGCTGAGCCCAGCATGCTGGCTGTCGCACCTTCTCCTCCATCAGGGAATAGACAATCTGTGACTCCCAGAGAGTCAGAGGGGACATTCTAGAGAAAGGAGAGGAGGGGAAGGGTTTTTTGTTTTTGTTTTTAATGGGAAAGAGATTCCCTGGACTGATGGCTAAATTGTGTCCACAGATGCCACCCATGGGTCTTTAAGGCTCACCAACCTTTCCACTTCCATGTCTGGAGTCTATATCTGCAAGGCCCACAATATGGTGGGCAGCGCCCGGTGCAATGTGACCCTGGAAGTGAGCACAGGTCAGTGAGGGGTAAGTGTGGTTAAGGAGAATGGTCAGTGGTGGTGAGGTGTGGTCGCAAGAGGGGAGGAAGCCTGTCTGCTGAGGCCTCTCCTTGTAACAGGACAGGGAGCTTGCTCTGGTCAAATATTTGTACAAATGTTTGGTAGGTCGGTGACTGGCCATTTTCTGCTTGACAGCCATCCCCTCTTCTTAACATGGAAAAAGACAGAATATGTATGGTGGCGGTGAGGGTAGTGGGATTGGAGAGGGGTAGGAAACAGCTGGGTGTCCCCCTCTAACACCAAGCATTTTCTAGGGCCTAGGGCTGCGGTGGTAGCTGGAGCTGTTGTGGGCATCCTGATTGGATTGGGGCTGCTGGCTGGGCTGGTCCTCTTGTACCAACGCTGGGGCAAGAGCCTGGAGGAGCCAGCCAATGATATCAAGTAAGTGTCCCTGGTCTCTGCTGTGTTTTGGGCTCTCTTAGCTCCCTTCACAGAGCCTGGGATTTCAGGCAGCTCTCATCTATCGGAAAGGTGAGCAGTAGCTGAAACACCCCTATGGGCAGATTTTAAGGGAGAGGGGGAGGAAGGTTGAAATATGGGGGGAGATGGGGAATAGAACAAAGCACTTGAACTCTCCCCTCCTTCCCCCTCCCACTTCTGACGTCTTATTACTTCTTTGATTACTAGGGAGGATGCCATTGCTCCTCGGACCCTGCCCTGGCCCAAGGGCTCAGACACAATCTCCAAGAATGGGACCCTTTCTTCTGTCACCTCAGCAGGAGCCCTCCGGCCTCCCTCTTCCAGGCCTGGTGCACTGACCCCCACACCCAGTATCTCCAGTCAGGCCCTGCCCTCATCAAGACTGCCCAGAACAGATGGGGCCCACCCTAAGCCAACAGCCCCCAGCCCTGCTGGGGTTTCTTCCTCTGCCCTGAGCCGCATGGGTGCTGTGCCCGTGATGGTGCCTGCCCAGAGTCAGGCTGGGTCTCTGGTGTGATGGCCCATCCACTCGTTGGCTGAACCGTCTGGTGTCTCTCTTTCGCACAGGGGTCACCCCTAGCACAGAGGCCTAAGTCTTGGGAGGGTAGCCATGCTCCGGACCTTCGGTCCCTGCCCTCACCTCTCTTTACTATGAGAAAACTGAGTCTCAATAAGACACAAATGTCCAGGAGGTAGAAGGAGAAGAGGAAGTGGACCTGGGATTGGGAGGAGCCTCTACCCTTCCCTACTTCTCCCTGTGAAGCCAGCTGAATGCCGCTGAGATTGGCTGCCCACCAAGGGCCCTGGCAGAGACTGCTAGTCACTGAGTCCCCCAAGCCTCCTTGATCTGTACCCCACCCCTATCTAACACTGTGCTTTGTTCCCACTCAGGCTCCCTGCATTGATATAACCTGTCCTGCTGGCTTGGTTGGGTTTTGTTGGGGCAGGGGATGGGGAAGATATCTTTTAAACTAACTTGAAATGTATGTTTTTTGTTTTTATTTTGCCAGTTTCAATAAAGATACATTGTGTTTGTATGGAATAAGAATCAAATCACTTTTTCAAACTCAGAATTCCCAGAAGTTGAGCTTCAGGATGATGCAAAGTAGATCCCTACCCAGGCTGTATACCCAGGAGTGCTTCTCCACACAGCCTCGGAGCTTACTAGCTCCAGATAGCTCTTCTAGAGTTTTCTAGAGCCCTTCTATAGCTCTAGAAGAGTCATTTGCTGTCCTGTGGAGAGGAGGAGTCACAAAGAGCGTGAGGCGAGGAGACCCTAACCTGCTCTGATCAGCAATGGGATGGGATTGGTGCGCTTTCTTTCTGTGCTCCAGGCTTGGGTCTCCTGCTTCCTCTTCTGGGACAGGGGAGATGAAGCTGACTTGTGCTCCCCTCTCCCAAACCACTAATCCTTAACAGACACACGTGCTCGCCCATCCGGAAGTGATCCCCCTTGTTGCTGAGGGAGAGCTGGCCATAGGATGTGGTGCAGGTCCATGTCTGAATTCTGCGATGCACTTTCCTGCCAAGGCTGGGGCTCCTCTAGGTGTCAGTTTCTCTGCCCATAAAATGGAGTGGCTCTGCAAATGGGGAGGCTGCTATAGTTTCCGTGGAGACTCCTACCTCAGCAAGTGGTGAGAAGAGGGGTTTGGAAGAAACAAGAACCTCTAAAGGAGCCAGAAATGGTCTATGGTCAGGGCCCATGCTCACTGTGTCAGGCTCTGGGGTGGGGATGTCATTTGCCAGCTCTGGGGGGATCGAAATGCCTCCCTCTTCCTCCAAAGTCGCTCTTTCCCTCCAGAGGTCTCGTTCTGAGCCCTTCCCCTCAGGGTGCCCACCCCGAGGCCAGGCCTTTTCCCAGGCCTGACAGCTTCAGAGGTTGGTGGGAAGAGGACGGCAGCAGGGAGCAGGGCTAAAGTGATTCCAGAATTGGGCCTTGAGGAGGGAGGAGCGTGTTTTTTACCTGTGGGTGCCGGCCTCTCCCCTTGTTTGCTCTGAGATAGTCAGTCTCGCTCCTGCCCAGGACTGAGGCGGCTGCCCTTGGGGCGCTCCCTTCCCTCCCAGACACCCGGGTAGGACCCGCCATGGCCAAGCTCCCCGGGCCTTTTCTCTGCGGGGCCCTGCTGGGATTCCTGCGCCTAAGTGGTGAGGAGGGCGGGACCGCGGGAAGAGCTGGGTGGCCGAGGCCTGGCTTCCCCGGCTCCTCCTGGGGTCTGCTCAGGCCCGGCGGGCTCAGGGGCTGGGGCGTCAGCTGGGGGTGGGAGGGGGGCGCAAGGAGCCATCGTGGAGGCCCGGAGGGCGGAGGGGAGAGGCAGGCAAGCCGGCAGGCCAGTTCGGCCTCTCGGTGCCAGAGGGTTTAACCACCGCAGGACCATTGTTTTCCTTTCTCTGCTGCACACACCCTCATACCTGGCCCAGTCTCGGCCCTTTTACCCACAAAAACCCGGCCAGGCCGTGGGCCTCTCCCTACCGAAACTTCAGGTTTCAGGACTGGAGGGACTGGGTTGAGGGGAGGGGTTGCGCTCTGGGGAGGGAGCCCCCGGCTTCTAGTGTGATCCCTTGGTGTGGCCCGGACCCTTCAGATCACCGGGATTTGGGTCTCCAGCCCCAGGGCTAGCCGTGGAGGTGACTGTACCCTCCGAGCCGCTGAGCACGCCGGTGGGCAAGACTGCCGAGCTGGCCTGCAGCTACAGCACGTCGGTGGGAGACAACTTCGCCCTGGAGTGGAGCTTTGTGCAGCCTGGGAAGCCCATCTCTTCATCCCATCCCGTGAGCTGAGAGCAACTGTGCCGAGTGGGGTTGGCAGGGAGAGGCAGGAGCCCAGTGGGGTCGGGAGGGGGCGTCTGGGCATCAGTATGCTTGAATGAAGAGGTAAGTGGGCTTTTCCTAGGTATTCTCAGGGCTGCAGTGTGCTTGATCCTGTATCATCCCTTCCTCTCCCATAGCTCCTATATCCAACTCGCCTGTTAGTGCAGTCCTAGTTTCAGTTAATAAACTCATCAACACTAAGGCGTTGTAGTTATTATTAGGATAATATGTTGCCTCTTATAGGACTATTTGCATGAATCCCCCCTATCCCCAGTAGAGAAAGCCATGCTTAACTGAAAGCAATGAATCTAGTTCATCTAGCACCTGGAAGGGGCTGGTGTTTGGGGACAGATAGACCTTTGTGGTTCTAGCTACAGAGTATCAGCCTCCCCGGCTGATGTAAGTGAGGAGCCTCTTATTCCCACTTTTATGAGGAAGGATTGTAGAGTTGACGCCAAGCAGAAAAAGGCACATATGTGTGTTTTCTACCTCTCTCTAGATCCTGTACTTCACCAATGGCCATCTGTATCCAACTGGTTCTAAGGCAAAGCGGGCCAGCCTGCTTCACAACCCACCCACAGGAGGGGTGGCCACCCTGAAACTGACTGATGTCCACCCCTCAGATACTGGAACCTACCTCTGCCATGTTAATAACCCACCAGATTTCTACACCAATGGGTTGGGGCTAATCAACTTTACTGTGCTGGGTAAGGCAGGCTGGGGACCCGTCAGGCACCTGCATACCTGAAAGTTCGCACTGGCCCTGCTAAATCTCCCCATGTCCTCATTTTCAGCCGGAGCACGCAACTGCACTGGGGACCCCAGGGGAAGATATCCCCTTCCCAAGTCTTCTAATCTAGATGGTCATACTCAGACTCCACCCTCCACAGACAGAATCTCCTCCCTCAGGGCCTAGTAACAAAGGGTGTGAGAGAGAAAGCTTTTCCCATATGTGGGGATCTGAGTCATGCCCCCACCAGCTCCACCATGAGGGAATCTCCCATGGGTAGCTAGATTCTATTTCCAAGGTCAATGGCAGAAAAGGGAAGTGACCATTAAAGGAACAAGGGCCCCTGTCACTGAGCACCAACTTCGCGTTCAGAGCTTCCATCTTACCCCAAACTAGAGCCTGGTCAGAGATGAGCAACTAGGAGAAACTATTAAAGGGGCTGGGAACATTTCGATGGAAAAGACAAGACCTAGGATGTGGTGTATGTCTGCTGTATTCAAACAGCTGAGGGACTGTCATGCAGAGGAGAAATTTTCATTTCTCCTTTCAGGCCCAGAGGGCAGGAACTGGATGCAATGGGTGGATATTACATTAACACAGATTTTGGCTCACCATGAGGAAGAATTTTCTAACAATCAGAATTCCCAATAGTGGAAATCCCTTCCTCAGGATGCAGTGGTGTGTGGACACTATTTGGTAGGGGTATTGAAGCAGGAAGTCTATTGCTTAATGGGGGTGGGGTTGGAAGATTGCTGAGGTACTTTCTGTCATTTTTGCAGTGCCTCCCAGTAACCTCTTATGCAGTCAGAGTGGGCAAACCTCTGTGGGTGGCTCTGCTGCCCTGAGATGCCACTCCTCTGAGGGAGCTCCCAAGCCAGTCTACAACTGGGTGCACCTTGGATCCTCTCCTACACCTTCTCCTGGCAGCATGGTTCAAGGTAAGGGCGCAGGGCATCAGGAAGAGGGAACTGGGGATCTGGGCAAGTCTGGTCTCTAAGCCCTAGACACCCCACGTTACTAGTTCCATGACTAGGAGTATGAGGCACACCACTGGACCTTTCCCTGACTCTTCCTTGGCTTTCTGTATTGTTCCCTCCTGTCTGCCTTCCTGCACAGTCTGTGGCTGGTTGATCCTAGAAGCATTTCTCAAGCTAAATATACCCTGATATCCTGGAAGAGAGAGTGGAGGGCAGGGAGCATTCTGATAATTCCCACTTGTCTGCTTTGGGGAGACTCCTTTTAGATTTCTTAAGGCTCATGAATGACTTCCAAACTTCTAAAAGAGGAAACTGAGGCAGAGTAGTCTGGACTGGCTTGAATCTTTCAGCCAATTTCTTTGGAGGAACCACATACCTAAGAGCCTTAGCTTCTCAGCTTTCTCTTGCTGGCTCCAGCTGCCCTGTCTCCGCCCAGTCCTAGCAAACTCCTTTATCAATCCAGACACACCCCCTCACCCCCAACCTCCTGGTGTGTGCTGTGTCTTCTCTAGCAAAGGCAAGCAGCTGAGAAAAGCATTTGGGTCAGCTTAGAGCCACCCCAGAGTATGCAGTTTCTAGCAATCAAAACTTTTACCCCCAACCAGAAGCCCGACATCAGCCAGTAAGCAGCCCACCCCAATTCCACTGCCGGTTTCTAAGCCCTCTATGTGTAGAAAGTCCCCTCAGAAGGCAGCTGTGTAGAGTAGAAAGAGCACAAAAGTTACTGTGGCTTCGGAATTCCTCTCTGGTCACTTCGGACAAATTAATTCCTTTCTCTGAACCAGTTTCCCCACCAATAAAATGAGGTTAGTCCCTTTCTGACAGAATTGTTGTAAGGATGAAGTGAAATGTGCTTTCCTCATAGTAGGTGCTCACTGTGAGTTGAATGAGTGGTGGAACACTTCCTCTTCATCCTCTAGATGAGGTGTCTGGCCAGCTCATTCTCACGAATCTCTCCCTGACCTCTTCGGGCACCTACCGCTGTGTGGCCACCAACCAGATGGGCAGTGCCTCCTGTGAGCTGACCCTCTCTGTGACTGGTAGGGGATGCTGGGCAGACGCCAGACTGGCAGGCTTGGGTTGGGGATGGGGAGGCTGCATGAAGCTGTCTGAGGATGGGCCAAGGAAGGTCTGCGACTCTGAGGGTCCTGTGTCTCTTTAGATCCCTCCAAAGGCCGAGTGGCTGGGGCTCTGATTGGGGTGCTCCTGGGTGTGCTGTTGCTGTCAGTTGCTGCCTTCTGCCTGATCAGGTTCCAGAAAGATAGGAAGAAGAAGCCCAAAGAGACCTATGGGGGTAGTGACCTTCGGTGAGCAGGAGGGCTGGGGGGTGGTGCAGAGAGGGAGGAAAGGGCTTGGGTTAAGTGGGGGCCTACAGCCCTCAAACTCTGACACTGTAAAATGCGTTTAGGGCTAGAGGGTGCTGCTCAGGCCTGAGATTTGGTGGTGACAGCAGTATAACCTATGTATTTGTGTATGTGAGCAAGGTGTACAGGGTGGAGGGGTTGGTTCACAAGCTGGTGCAGGGACAGCTCAGTTTGCAGGAATTCCCTGACCCTCTTCGTACTTAAAAAAAGTTTACTTTTCTGATTCGAAGGCATTTTCATATATACTAACCACCTGGAAGTAGTGAGAGGTGGCTGCTTTGTCCTGAGCCTTCAGCTGAGTTTAGTTCTGTGTGACGCAATCAGAAAAGGAGGGGGGAACCGCCTCTGCCATCCACTGTAGCTGCTAGTCCGGGTCCAGAACTTGCTCAACATTCAGATTGAGGCCCTTTCCTATCCCTCCTAGAGGGGTGTGTGGGTGCTTGGAGGTGGGGGCTGATCTTCATTGTAACCAAAGATCCACAGATGATTCTCATGCACAGTAAAAATTTAAAAGTCCCCAGGTTAGAGGATGGCCGCCTTCCGGAGGATGCTTCTAACGTTCACTAAGAATTTCCCTATATCCATCAGGGAGGATGCCACTGCCCCCGGGATTTCTGAGCAAACTTCTGTGAGGGCTGATTCTAGCATTGGGCTCCTGGAGAGGCCCCCGTCTGCCAGCACTGTGACGACCACCAAGTCCAAGCTCCCTATGGTTGTCTGAGTTCTCCTGAACCTGAGGGTGGTGAAGGGGATGTCAATAATTAAAGTCTTTGGGTACCATATGGACTCCCTCTCCTTCCTGCTAGTATGGCGAATTCTCTAGGCGGCTCAAAGAGTATTACCAGTAGGGGAAGGAAGGAATGAGCTTGAAGTGCGGGAGACGACGCCTTAGGCAGGAAGTTTGGCCGGGTCAAAGGAGTAGGTTTCAACCTAGGTACCTCTCCACCTCTGCCCTCCCCCCGTTCTCCCCCGCTTTGATTTGGTCAAATGAAACTTGTCAAGCTCCGAGCGGTGGCCTTGTGCACCCAAACTCTCTCCTCCCCTCCCACCCCCCCGCCGGCACCCTCTGGACACTTGGACATTCCTCTTTATTGTTCACATTCCAACCCAGCACGGTCACATGCACACACGGAGATTAAAAACCTTCCGGCCACAGCCCCAGGAGCCCTGCGGGGGACGGGACCAGCAGGGGCAGGGGCAGGGGCGGGGCCGCGGAAGACTCCTCCTACCGAGCCTTCCAGGCGCTCGGCGTTTGCATAAACAAGAGAGCTGGAGAGGCTGCTCTCAAGAGTGCGCTAGGGAGAGGGAAGGGGACATCACAGGCAGGCGTGGGGTAGGGACTTCCCTTCCGATCAGAGAAAGGGGCGTCTGACGCCATGAAAACCCTCTTCCCCTCTCTCCTTGCCCCAGGTCCAAAGTCCAGGGCCGAGGCTGGGGCGGGAACGGCACAGAGACGCAGGGCGCCCCTTTCAGCTGCGCACAGAACGAAAGGACTTGTTCTTTTGAGTGTACTTGGGCGACACTTAGGGCGCCCTCCGCAGTGCGCGCGGGGAAGCGCCCGCACCGAGGCTGCGGAGGCAGAGCTGCATGCTGGGTGCGGGGAGAGGTGGGCGAGAAGCAAAAGAAGGAAGATTTGGGAGCACAGGGTTTAGGGCAGGTGGGGGAGGAAGGGCAGATGGGAACCATACTAGACTAGAGACTAACTAAAAGGGCACGGACTCCGCGACGGAGCCCGCCTGGGAGAGGGAATCTCTGGGACGCAGGGGGGCTCCTGAAGCTGGCAGGTTGGTGGGAAGGAGGGGATCACAAACACGGCGGGGAAGTCTCTCGTCACTGCGAAGGGGACGCGGCATCCATCTCTCCTCGGGAACTGAGGAGAGAGAAGGTCTGAGAACCTGTCCTCTCCTGGTACTTTTCCTCCCCCTTCCCTTCTCCCTTTCTGGGCAGGGAGTGCCAGGGGGCCCCAGTAGCCCAGAACCGCCCGCCCGAGTCACTGTGCCGAAATGAGCCCCGCGGCAGGCACGTGTGTGCGCCGCGGCGTGCGTATGCCCCTCGGCCAGGCTTGTGCAGCCAAATGGGGGTGACTGCGTATCTGTGTCGGTCCAGGTGTGTCCCCGTCGCAGACTCAGGCGTCTCGATGTATCAGAAAACCCGCAACGCAGGGTGCATTTCCCCGGCTGGGAGGGGTGAGGACGGGCAGAGGGAAGGGTTGGGGATTTGGTCCCTTTCTCCCACTCACGGCGCCCACCCTGCCGCTTCGGGGTCGTATTCGTTACCTTCGAAAATGCTCAGTTCTTCTTTGGTCCAGGGCGGGGCAGAAGGGAGGGTGAAAAGGGAGAAACAGTGAGCTCTCGGCACACGCAGCACCCTCAGCCTCCTCCCGCCCACCCACCTCACGTCTCGGATTTCTGGTCCCCCACCTTTAGCTCCCTGCACACCCCTCTCCACCCGCCGCCCCCCGCCCCCCATGGTCTGCCCCTGTTCCTTCGGAGGAGGGCTGGGAAAGGACAGCCTCCAGCCCTCCGCCTCCTGCCCGCCTCACCTGGCCTAGTCTCCGCTGGGGCCGCCGCCCGCGCCTCCCCGGGCGCCCCCAGCTCCGCCAGGTCCCCCAGGGCCCGGGCCCTTCCGGCCGCGCTCTCCGCTCTTTATCTTCTTCCGCGCCATGTGGCCCCGGAAACTCGCCTGGATTTTGGCAGCGGCCGCGTTGGCACCAGGATCGTCCAGCGGGATGTCCAGAATGTCGTCGTCCGGCTTGGAGCAGGCGCTCTCCTGGGGGCGGGGCAGGGGGGTTCTTGTGGGGTAACTGGATCGAGATCCCGCGGGGTGGGACAGGAACAGAGCCCTGGGGGATGCAGAGGAGGGCGACGCGGGGGTGGGAGGTGCAGAGAGGGGAGCAGAGCGTGGGGAAGGGATAAGGCAGGGCCGCACTCTGGGGCAGGTGTGTTGGGTGGGGGCAGCGGCAGACGAAGAGGAAGGTTAAGGGCCAGGCGGACACAGTCGCGTGCCCAACTCAGGAAAGAGAATCTCACGGTGGGATGGGATGCAAGAAAGCCAGGCCCACCACCGGCGGCCGAGTTAGGGGAGCTGCAGAGCTGATTGGAGGGTGGGTTTGGAGGAGCAAGGACAACTGCAGCAGGCCCTCCTGGAAGTGGCCCTAGTACCCCTGCTCTCAGAGGGTGCCTCCAGCTCAGAAAGTCCCCTTCCCAGTCCAGGATTCCCTGGGGAGAGGGTGTAGAAGACTCAGTAGGACAGCCCTCTCCCTGAGTTCTCAGTGGGTCAGCCTCCCCTGCCTATGGCTGGAGGCCCAGAGGTTGTTTCCCATTGCTTCCCAGGATGAGCTCAAACACAGAAGACAAGAGATAGTATAGTGTGGAAAAGACAAAGGAAGGAATTATGATGATAGCTACCATTTAGTCACTTACCTTGTTCCAGGTGCAATAACATAGTGTTTTCTAGGCATTATTTTATTTAGTCCTCAAAAATAAAGCTATGACGTACCTTTTTATTGTTATCCTCGTTTACCCTTAATAAAACTAATGATTGGAGTGGACTGAAGATTCAAACCTCTGTATGTCGGAGTCCAGAATATATTTTTAACCCCTACTTTGTAGGATAAGCAAATGAGGCCCAGAAAATGAACCAAGGCTTTACCATTTGCTATGACTGCGTGTTCTTGGGCAAGTTATCTAATCTGTTCCTATCTCAGCTCCTTCATCTGAGAAATCAGGATAATAGTATCCACTTCTATGGGTTGTGGGGAAGAACAAACAGCATGATATGCATAAAGTTTCTGACACAATCTAGTTGCTCAATAAATGGTAGCCATTATGATTGTTTTAAATAATAATAAGTTAATGCAAAATAGTCATTTTCGTAGGCCCAAAGTGGTCATATAATAATTTCACATGGTTCAACCTAATAATAATCCAACTCACCCCTGTGCCCCAAAACAGGTTTCTGGTTCTCTGACAGCCTGCCCTCTTTCCTAGAAAGGGTTAGGGAACTGATGGTATTGATTGTGGAGACAAGGCCCTGGATGGGAGAGATTGAGCTCCTGTGCCCCTTTGTTGCTTAACATTACTCCCAGCATTAGTGAGGGTTGGGATGGGGATGATTACTATGAAGTTGGAAGGTCATTTCTCCTTTGATCTGGCCCTCTGGCTTCTAGAGATTTGTGCTCATTTTTTCCTTGAGGCCTTCCACGGCTTTCACTGTCTCTTTCTTCTAGGACATGAGATGACCAAGGTCTCACATGCGATAACTCAGTTCTGCACATTCCCCCTCCCTGCCCTCACCCATCCAGTTCACAGAAGTGGATAGGAAATGAGTGAGGCTTCAGTGATCACTGTCCTGGCCAGGTTCTGCCCCAGGAGCACAGGTTTAAATTCCAGAAGCCCAACCCCGTAGGTTTACAAATGGCTCCTCCTCACCATGTTTCCCCAGGCTGTCCTCATTTCCTGGGCTTCAGAGTTCTTCCTTTTGTGCTCAAGAAGCCCACGATTGATTTAAACACACTTAAAAGGAGTTAGGAATAGGCGAGTGGTTGTGGAGGGGCCTGACAAACACATTCTTGTCTTTCACAGGTCTAGAGCTCTCTCTGACATCTTATTCCTCACATAAAATCAGAAACAACTCCTTTGGGTTCTTTGATTCTCAGAGCTCAAGTCTTTCTTGGCATATTTTCAGGAAACAGTGAGACTTCTTCTCAAAAAGGGGCAACAAACATAAAAAACCATTCCCGACCCAACTGTCCTTGATGGCCTCACAGGAGGTTGAGCGGAAGGAGGAGCCCTTCTGGGAAGGGGTATCTTCCCCCAACCGTGCTAAGACCCTATCTGCTGTCACCACCCACCCCCAATGGATCCAGAATGGAAACCTGGAACAACAGGCAAAGCCACCCCGACACTCTGCTCTTCTCCAGAATCAGCTCCCTCTCCCTCTAGCTGAATTCTCAGGACGGAGCTGCTAAGTGGCAAAACTGGAAGGAGAGTAAAAGGAATCCAGAAAGGGGCTCGTTGGTCATGATGCCTGGACTGGTGCCTTCCAAAGCCAAGACTGCTGGTGTGTGCCTGAGAGCTCCATCTCAGGGACATCTGGCGGGGGAAGGGAGGAGGTGGTGGTGGAGGAACTGGAAAGAGCACTGGTTGACAAAACAGGAGCCATGGCCTCTAGTCCCAGCTGGACATGTCACTTCACCTCTAAGAGTCTCATTTTCTTCATCCACAACTAGCTCTTGGCCTAAATGAATAAAGTCTCCTTCAATTCCCAAATTCTAATAGCTTTAAGGATTATCCCTGCTGCTGCTTGTTATGTGTCAGGAGGCCCTGTGCTAAGCACTTTGCACATATTACCTCATTTAATCCCCATTTTAGAAGTCAGGATAGAGCCTCGGAGATGTTTGGTAACCTACCTAAGGTCACTTGGCTGACAAATACTGACAGTAACTTGATCGGATTCAGTAGCCTCTGCTGTTAACCACTGCCTTAGGGCTGGTAATTATTTCTATGAATTCGGCTGGACCAAGCCAACTAGACTAAATAAAAGGAGTAGGATCAAAAATATGTTTCCTTGCCTTTTCATATTAAGTGAATACAGGAAAAGTCATACACATGTGGCTATGTAAATCAGCAACTGTAACATGTGAATCAACAGCTCCATCTCAAAAAAAAAAAAAAAAAAGAAAAAGCAGCTCTATTTTCCTCTTCCTCATTTCTGTCTGAGCCTCCTTACCAAGGGGAGAAAGGGAATAAGGCAGGACCAGGCTCTTCCCAAACACCAAG